TTTTAGTTGGTATGAGTCTGATACACCCTCTCGCCATACCCTAGGCGAAAGAAGACAAAGGATGACTTTCCCTTATCAAAAATAAGAGTCCCGGTCAGTTAGGATGCCGAAGCTAACTGCACACAATTTTAATCCAAATTAAATGGACAGAAACAAAGTATCATACTTAGGCATACTTATACATAAGGCAATTCAACTACACTATTTACAGATCTACGTGCGAATTTATTAAATATGGATGTAAATTCAATTTTCTCGCATTTCTAGTAAATAAAAAGAAAATATCAATCACGGACACAATTAGCTAATAAGTGTTCTACAATTTATTCAATTCTACTTAGTTACAAAAACATAAAACCTTACTTACTTCAGACATCCAATGTACACGCTTTATACAAAAAAAACTTTTCCAAAGAAAACATTCGTCTTGAAAAGTAATCTCAGTGAAATCTTTGCCTGAATTTTAAATTGCTAGCAATTTACGATTTGAAAAGGTTAGAAAAAAAAAGTCAGTCCAATGTGTTTACACAGGCGTTTTTAAAATGCCTGAATAATTTATTCTTGATAGAGGTCTGAGAGCGACATTTCTAGTAAGCACTTAGTGATTTTAAGAAAAAATACTGCATTTATTTTGGGACCGTAGTGACACGTGATCGACTAGAGACATCTGAATACCTTCTAATGTTGTTCAAACGTTTTTCTTTTTATTTTTATTTTTATGTGAGGAAAATTACAAATGACTTCAATCATCCTTTAGTGCTAAACTCTTACTGATTAAAACATTCCATTCCTTCTCCTGATCCAGGTCGAGACCGCAATACATTATTGCGCAGTCCCATAACCCCGGCTGAATGGTGGCCACGCTAAACGTCATGGTGTCCCGAAGGATAATACACTTATGCTTGAGTGTGACTTCGAAACCTAGCAAGACCCTAAGTGCTTTTTTTCTCTTAATGATATGTACTCTTTAAGATCTTTTAGACTCTATTGAACTTATAATTGGAAGTTATAAGTTTGAAAATGCCAATCCAAAAAGAGCAAGCGTAGTTCATATCTTTTCTGCGTGAAAAGAGGCTTCGGCTCAGCAGCGAGCAATTATAAACTGGTGATAATGATGATTGAAACATATACTATAAACTTTATTACATTTACGTTCTGTTCATTATAACCGATAAAGAGACTTTGATTGCAGTATTATGCAAGTAATTTATTAAAATTAATGTATGAAATGCAGCGACAGATTTTATGTATGCCAAAGAAGTTGAAATTACCTAAGTAAACTGAAGCTACTATTTATAGCTCTATTAGTTAAAAGTGCAATCTCTTAATACATTCTGATTTAAAATAACGGCCACCTAACCTAGATTGCTTAGCAATTTAGGTGCAAAACACCTATCAACATTGGTCAATCCCTACATTACCATACGATTTGCATCCACTTGCCCTCGAGGTGTTTCGATCGACGAGCGAAACAAGACGACTTAATGATGCTAAGGATTAGAGTGTTCGGGTTACGTCATAAATTCCCCGTAGGAATGGATAGTAGTGTTTTGTGTGACGCTGTAAGTTCTTAGTAGTTTTATTTTTAGATTCATTTTACAATGATTTTTTTTATGTAATAGGTCGGGTACCTGATGCTAAGCAATCAGCATCGCCCATGGACACCCGCAACGAAGGAGTCACGAGTGCGTTGCCGACCTTTTAAGCGATAAGTGATTTGGAGATTTAGGGACTGGGGAGGGATTGGGGAAGGATTGAGTCTCCGGTAACCTCACTCACACGCCGAAATACACACCGGATCTCTGAGAGGCCGTAGTATCACTCCGGTTGAGCCGACCCATTCGTGCCGACGCTTGGCTCTCCCACACTTGCATGTATGTACTAGAGCTAATTGTGAAACAGTATGTGGATTCTTATTCATTCATATCAAACAAAACTTACATGATAATTATACTTAATATCGAAAATGTCACTTCCTTAGTTTATTACAAACAAAATTTGATTCACAAAATTTCATTAATTTGAAACCAAAATAATACAGCGATTGAAGTGAAGGCTACTTACTACAATCTGTGTTCTAAATCCCAGAGAAAAAACTCCTAATTTGACTTTGTTTTTATAATCCTCTCATTAACAATACATTGTATATTTCAATATGAGAACAGAAAATTATCGGTCCATCAACATTTTGATGGCATTCAACTCAATATAAATGTAATTTCCAGTAACAATCAATGGCTGACATGACGTCAATAACAGGAAGGGGCACGCGTTCCGATAGGTGAGCGAACTAAGGGGGCCGAGACCCCCTCCGGTCTCAGAATTAAGCAATTCTCTATGGCAACTGACATGGCCGAATGAAGCCACTAACACAGACTGTGAAATTGATTACGGATTCATTCTATTATTATCTCTATTTCGTCTATTCATAAAGTTCAAAATCAAGTAGCGATAGGCCAAATTATTTGTTGTTAATTGGCATATTGTTACAGAAGAATTTATTTGTATTTATGCTCGGTAGTTTACTGCGAGGTCTTATAACCTCAGAATGTCATGCTTATATCTGCTTGGAAAACATCGATAAAAAGTCATTTAAATTAATTATGTACTACTACATATCGCACGCTTAATCAAAAAAAGAAATATATCAAAATTGATATTTTTTGGATATGCCAGTTTAAAGTTTAGAACTATTCTGGGTTGAACTTTGTTTACGTATTAAAATTAATTTAGACGTGTTATAAGGAAATAAACTGATTTAAAGGAAAGCTGGGTTTATTGGTTTTTGTTTAGTGCTATATAAAAGTATATTTTATTTACTATTGACTAGTAGATGATGCATTAAAAAAAAAGTTCCTAGTTATTTCACTTTATGATTAAAATCTACGTGCATATTTTAAATGTTATTAGTCATAAAACATAATATATCTCTTTATTAATAAAATTTTGTTTAGCTATTCAACTTAAGTAAGCTTTATTTCAATTTTTTATTAATAAATGTAATAATTTTCTTACAAGAATTCGAAATATTTCTTTGTCTTACAACATGACGGAAAAATATCAATAAATATTATAGTAATGAAACGCATAATTAGAAATATTCTTTTATTTTAAAGTACGAAAGTAATATAACACACAAGACATTAATGACTTGGCTAACTGAATTAAGGCAGGGAGGTACCTAATCACAAACCCAGGCTGGGGCAAAAAGTGAAAAAAAATATGTTTAAAAAATAATCAATAAACGTGGAATCACAATGTTAAACAATCATAATGTTATACTTGACTAATATTAGTTATACTTAATAACAAAACTAAAACTCTTCTTAATTATAAAAACAAAAAAAAAACGATGTTTCTAAAAATATTATAGACAAACAAAATCACTAAAATTTTAATGAATTATTATGAGATCAATGAAGTAACTCTAGTTAATGATCGAATTATAAAAATTTGCGTAAAAAGGAGGAATAAGTCCTTTATTGACGAGATCTCTTAAATCCTTCTTTTTATTAAGACTTATATCTTGCCTTTCCGTGTAAGCCTTTTTTAGTGTAATTTCTGTTATGAGCTTCATCTTCTTCCTTTTATTTCTTACATCTATTTCTTGGAAACAATCATCTTTGTAGGAAGTTTTGTAAAAAATACTGAATGGTTTCTCTTTTTTCATCATCAATACTTTTATATTATTCCAATTAACTGTTTGTCCGTCCATATTTGTATTATAATTGTAACCCCATTCTTCCTGCAATATTTTAGTATCAACGAAGGAATCAAAGGTTAATTCGTGTACATTTATAGCTGGTTTACTTTTTTTAGCATTTTTAATTAAAGCTATGTACTGATCAGGGCTGTAAATGGGCCCTGATTTAAGATTTTTCTTTATCTCTTTTTCTATTAAGCTGTGCACGCTATCCGCTTCATTTTGAGTGTGCCCTGTGATTAAAAACTTGTGTTTTATACTTCTTATATTCAACGTGTTCACAGCAAATAAATACAATGTTGCGATATATTTATTTTTATTCTGTCCGCAACAGTTATCAGAATAAAATGTAACGTTTTTCTCTTCTATATTTGATTCACATATCCCTTCAAGATACTGCCATACACAAGTTCCTATTTCTATTGCCCCACGTTTAGCTTCTGATTCTGTCCAAAAATAACAATGTACTTTATCATATGCCGTTTTTGACTCCGTTTGTGTCAATTCCGTTAATGTTAAATTGTAACTGTTAAGTTTGGATTTATAATAAAATGCCGAGGTATCACCTCTTGGACATTGGAGCACTGCTTCTAAATCATTAATTGCGACTATATTATCTTTGGTAACTTTTTTACGATCTTCTTGTTTTTCTATTCTACTCAATGACTTTTCTTCTATGTGTTTATTATATTTATCTTCCAGCTCTCTCTTTTTTTCATCAGTACTGTTTTTAAATGATTCACATAAATCACACTGGTCTTTTTTTGGCTGGAAAAAACTTAAATTAAATTCTAGAGTGAATATTTTATAGTATGCTATGTAATTTCCTGTCTCTTTGTTATTTTCTTCTTGTTGTTTAACAAAATCTGAATACAAATCCTTTATAGTTTTACCACCGTCAATGTATTCTCTGGTAGAAGTAGCTCTCACATAGTGTGACTCTATTTTCGGAATGGATTGAATATGCTTCCGTATGTCGTCAATCAATTCAGGAGGGAGAGTTTTGTGGCTATGGTGTTTCCCTCTCAAATCTTCAAGCATAAAGCCACCGTCACTTACTTTATGCTGTATGGTGAATATCATTCTGTCCGTAACATCCAAAGTAGATTTAAAAAATGTCTTACATACCCTTATTTTTTTATTATTAACAGTAAAATTATAGGCTTTATTTGGGCGTCTGGGATTTGTAGCATTTGTGTACCTATATTTTGGAGTTATGTCTACCATACAACTGCTTATAAAAACTCTTTGTCTTGTCAGGTCTCCTAAATCCCAAAATTCTTTGAATATATTATACCTTTCATCCATTGATATATTAGTTGTGCATTTTAATCTACATTTATCTGTGCAAGGCACTTTAAGACAGCGGCTGGGAATAACTTTCTGAGATTTCGATATGGATATATACGATTCACCAGTGTTCCGTAGCTTTTTAACTTTATTTTGTTTCCACTTTGCAGGATTTAGAGATCGCTTGCGCCCTCTTTTACTAAGCTTCTTTCTATCAGAATCTGAAACACTATCGTCGTCACTGTCAGATGAGTCTGTTTTGGTGGCATCAAAAAAATAGTTTTTCTTTTTGCGTTTGGTAGACAGTTCATAATTAAATGTAGGGTCGTCATCACTTAAGTCTATATTATCACTTTCATCAGTATAATTTGGTGAAATATTGGCAGGTAGAGTGGAAGTTGAAGCGCTCTGTGGTCTTACACCATTGGCGTATTGTTCAGAATGTTGATTAGTTCGTTTAGAAGACGTAGAACTGTCTGAATCCGAAGATGAACTACCAGAGGAGGTAGAGTTCGATGAAGACGAGCTTGATGTAGACGAGCTTGAAGAAGAAGATTTCGGCAGTGCTTTTTGAATGCTTTGATCAATTTCAGTACAAGTTTCAATGTTTTCTAAGTTATTATTATCATTTATGGATGAATCATCACTGTCATAATCTGGTACGAGGTTTGTTTGCAATGTTCTTATTATTGATGTGTGTGTAGTAAGACTACTATTATCTGTTTTACGGGAACTAATAAATCGAGCATCAATTTTGTTGGCAAATTGATCATCTCTATCACAATCTGATAAGATCTCATCACAGCTACTTACATCAATATTTTTATTTGGGGAAACATTTTCTGCGTTTTCTTTAGCTGTACTGTGTTGATCTTCTACAATAGTATTGTCGATTTTAACCACCAGATTGTCTTGAGTATGAGATGTTGCATCAGGTGATACCAATTTAAGTATACGACTTGCTCTCCAAGACGCCATGCTACAAAAAAATTACAATTTATAATGTTTTTAATATTAAATTAACAGTAATTAAAAAAGGCGCGTCTGCGACTCGGATAATAACGGATCAAGTCACAGTTTTAAACGTCAATAATAATGTAAAACTAAATATAATTTATATAAGTCGCCCCGTGACCACGGCTGATGCAACTCAGCTGAAACGTCGGAAAAATAAAATAGCAAGGTATGACGCGATTAATACCCGTTTTAAAACAGATTAATAATTAAATTAATTCCCTCACTACGGCAAAAATGGCTTTAGAACGGAAGTAATAGTATATATTCTTTGCTTTAGGTTAGTATCTGACAAAAAAGGAATGTCACAAAAAAAAAAATCAAATATAAATTAAGTATTAGCAGCAAAACTTAGATTTTCGCGCATATTTTTATGTAGCATTAATTACCTACACAAAAACTTTCTTTTTGTGACATTCCTTGTTTTGTCCCTGTACCCTTCAAATTATCTTATATAAGGATTAGGGTAGGATACAATAATAATAAGACTGGCCTAATTGGATGTTAATTCATTAAATGGCTATTCAGACGATGCATAGAATAAGTAACAATTAAAATATTCTATTCAAATGGAAAGGGAAATAATTTTAAATGTCCCAAATAACTTTTGACGACAATTAATCATAAACAGCAACAAGCATGTTTCATTATTAAATTTGAACGATAATTTAAAACTAAAACGAAATAAGTCATTTTGTGCCAACATTATATTTATTCTTTTAAAATGAAAACGAAATAACTCGTATAAATTTGGACGACGCGTTAATAAAATTTAAACTAAACTGCAATAAGTCAAAATGATATCACAAAGTAGTGACATACTTTTTGTAATAAAGTGAAATAAGACTTAGTTATTCACTTTATGAATAAATTAAAACAAGAAATAAGACTTACCTGTTAATAATATAAAGATTTATGCCGTAATGTTTCGCCCTTTAAATAATTTTGCGATCACCTTACTTGCATCACTGTTGGCACATGACTGAATATAGCCGTTTACTGGTACCAATCTGTTCGGGCGCGTTAGTCAGAAAGAGAGCGACAGTCCTTTATTTCGTTCATATTCATTCAAATCGAGCGGCGGTTGGAGCGTAAATATTCTTAGCGATATGTTATTACGTTTTATGATTGAATCTTTAAATAACTTATTTTTGAGTTATTTCTCTTTATGATTAAGCGTGCGATATATGTATACTCCCTAGACTGGCAACACACTTGTAATTATAGTGTTGCAAGTTTTAAAGGGCAGTGTGTGTCGTTTGCTGAAAAAAATCCATCCAAAAATTATATGACATTTTGTTAATGATCCTTTAGAACATAATGATGATATTTCTCTTTACATTAAATTTTATCCTCTCATTAAAGCAAGACATATCTGACGTTTAACTAAGTAAATCAGAAAAGAGAAATGTTGGGAGTTGTTCTTTTTTCATGCAGAGAAATTTAATTGTTTCAGTATTTCTTTGAACTCGCCACTTTACGTTGGATTTAATAATCAAGATTTTTATGATAACTAATTGCGTTTACTGTGAATTATAATACTTATCTATAGATTTAAGATCTAAATTTCATAAAGCTTATTTTTGTAATAAAGAGTGTGTGTTTGGTTAATCAATTTAGTACCTCAACTTATTACAGTAAATGCGATGGAGCGCTAAGTTATACTAACGATTTTCTTTTGTGTGGGAAAATGTTGGAGACCCAAGCTTCAACACGAATGGGCCACCTCGTTTGGAGTGATACCACGCCCTCAGAGAAAACCGGCGTGAAACAAGCACGGTATTGTGTTTCGTCGTGTGAGTTAGGTTACCGAGGGCCCAATCCACTAGGAGTTGGAATTTATAATAATGTTTTGTTCAACATTTACCAATACAGCTAGTAATTATTTTAAGGAATAAATACCCTTTACTAAGTATTTCTAAAACATATTTATGTTCACTTATGAAAATAAATCAACTGTTTTGTTTTTATTATAAGACTTATTTTTGCCTGTCAGTAGGTATTCAGTAATGACGAAGCTATGAACAAAAAAGTATGCCGACTCCTTTCATCAACACAATACAATAAAATAAAGAAACAGTCCTTAAATATTTTTTTTCTTTAACATCTCCAATTTTTCTTAGGAAAAACACATACATACAGTTAAGTCAAGTCCTTTGCAAAAAGGACATTCATTTACACGACATTGGAATGTCCTACACTTCACCTTTCATTATTAGAGGCTTCATAACAAGAGGCGAGGCGAGGCGTAGGTGGATGCCACGTCCACTTGACCTGGCCAGATCAAGGTCATTGGTGTCACTTGTGCGTGAATGAAACTACTTCAACATCGGAGTTGCTTTCTCACATTCTTTTGTATAGTAGACCTTAGCTTATTTGGTAAAATTGGGTGTTTTTGTGCTTTAACTAGTTGGTGCTTAAAAGGTGTGAGTTCACGTCATGGGTATTTTAAATTGGAAATAAACGTTTATACCTGATGTAAGATTTGTTGATATTAATTTAATCATTAAAACGATTGTGATAGGATTGAAGTTGGTATTTCACTCAACAACCGGATAAAGGTAAATTCTACCAAAGTGATATCAGACGGATGAAATATTTTCCAAAACATGAAAAAAGAAATAGAATTTAAATTTCGTCTTAACGGCCATATTTACAAAAACATTGTAAATTAACTTCAGAAATTATCAATGCGCAAGTATACTACTACTTTCTTTCTGGGCTGGGTCAGTAAGAATATAGGAGAGTCCTCGCCTCAATGCTAAGGATAGTGACTACCTCCTGAATGCAGAGTATAGCTTATTACTCTCCACCATCTATTACGGGAAAGTCTAGGCCAGAATAAATCTAAATAAAATAATCCATCACTACGCACAAACAGCAGAAATACGAACAACAACACTTTCGCACTACGCAGCATAAATTCTGTTTGTCACCCGTTACACGGGGCGCCTCGACACAGAAAATCAATTAATCATTTTCTCTCACGCTAATAAAATTTACTACTTGACGTCACTTCGGGCACGGGTTTAGAAAACTCGATTTATTTTCGAAAGTCATCTATGTAATTGGGACAACTTTGCAACTTTGCGGAAAGGGAGAACGGGACGCGATTTCCAAAAGTTGCCTTATAAGTTTTTTTATTGTTAACGACGACTCTAAGGCAGTCGGAGGGAAGTTTTTCACTACGGTTCTGCGGTAGTAAGCTTTGATGTTAAGGGACGCACGGTAAAGCGACATGATGGCATTTTAGGGGACGTGAGCCCTTTTTCATTGTTAAACATTTTCACGGAGTGAGTTTTGATGTTTGATTTTTTGTACGCAGTATAATTTTTTTTGGATGGTCTTTATGTTGATGTTGTTCGTTGTTGAGAATCAGTGTAGATTTTTTCGTAAAGTAGTTTAAAACTATGCTTCTAAAAGATTTCAATACTTTCTTCACAAAAAAAATCAAATTCAATTTATGATAATCTATATAATTTTATAAAAATGTATAGCAAAATTTGTTGGCAAACGCATAACTCAGAAAATCCTGGACCTAATTTGCCAATTCTATTTTTGTTGTGTCTGTTATTGTTAAGAAAAGATCTAGGTATTCTTATCAGAGAAAATATTATAAAAGCAGAGGGGAAAATTAGGAAAAGTAACCGTTTCGTTGTCACCGAGATAGTTGGACACGTGCGAAGCTAGTTTAAAATACAAAAACATTGTCAGTATCTGATTGAATTATTTCTTATATATATTATCTGCGAACTTGTACTAGGCAATTACGTGATTAAACTGATAAGGCAAATATTATGTAAGAGCTTCTTTCATAATCATTATCAGATAATAATCTATCTAGTCGGTATTACGAAGGCTTAATTAGCTCAAGAAAATGACTTAATTAAGGACGTTCCATGAGACAGCGTCGTGCCTCATTTACATACGTATGTATCATCCTCATCAAGATGTCGTAGCTAATGAGTAAAAGAGATTTCAACTTCGATACCTGATTTTAACAAAGTATTTTGGATATATTAAACACTTTCTTTAGGGTACGATACTACAATTTTCTTAATACATATCATATTATAATGTTACCATAATAGAATTATAAAAAAAAACAATATCTATACTGATATTATGAAGAGGTAAAATTTGTAAGTTTGTATGTAGAGGGTAATCTTTGGAACCGCTGGTCGGATTGCCAAAATTCTTTCACTGGTAGATAGCTACAATGTTCCTGAGTGCATATAGTATAGGCTTTAAAACGCACGCTACGATCAAATGGACCAGCGGGTGAAACCGCACAAGAGTAGCTAGTCTACAATAAATAAATACATATTTAGCATCACATACTTTAAAAAATAAAAATATTTATATGTGTTGGTTTTTTATACTCCTCTTAATTATCCATCACTGTGTGACGTATTTCAATAGCCATTAACCCCCAAATAAAAAGAATTTAGTTTTTATTTAGGTCTACCGATACTGAAGTAACAATTCTTAATACCTATTTTAAATTTTTTGTTTATATAGTGCGTTATAAGAAAAAATCGTTGAATTTATAATGCAATTTGCTTGAACTATGTACTACATAAGTTTAAAGGTACATAATATGAATATATGAAGCTACAGGCTCTTAACCTGGCCTAATGTAATCTATCGTAAAATACACACGACAATGTAAAATAAACTCATTCGCATCCATAGGTTTATCCTGACAATTCGTCATGTACAATGAAGCCTCCATCTTGAGAAATAATTATCTTCACGGTTCGCCGAATGTCAATTTATTCGTATGAACACAATAATGTCTGGTGAATTGAACTTGTGTTGAATGAATGTCGCGTGAAGTTGACTAGCAGTCTTATACAAAGATGAACTTCTTTTTTTGTAAGGGGAAATGCATCAAATGACTTCTCCCGCCCAGGTTAAGTGGAAAGACAGTGTCTCTCTATCGCCTTCTCTCTGACTCTTACAGACTAAAACCCCCTACATCTCTTCCAGTTTAAAAGGTGTTTCAAATTATTGGAGATATTTGCTTCTTTATTTTGTTTCAAAATAAATACAGTAAAAAGCTTGCAAAAATCGGTGTCAGATTATAGACGTGATTATATGAGCTCAATTTACGGTGAAATATAGACTCGAATAAACTCATATTTAGTACAATTATTAAAATCATCACAGACCAATATATATTGCAACCCATCAGAAAACAACACAAATCATAAAATGTCGGGTCTCATTAAAATGCTGTGATTAATTAAACACCAGTTACAAGCTAACGCTGGTTAAATTAATTTAACGCGTTACATTGTTGACCAGATAATGCTAACATTCGCTTTATTTACACAAAAACCAACAATACTGAAATTAAATAGGATAATGAGTTGTGGCATTTTCGATTTTATTTACTGAAACATAAGCAAAAATATCTTCTGTGTGGATGGACCACGCTTGGCCACCTTAATCAGCGTAATTGGCCTCACAGAAAAAATCCGGCGTGAAACAACATTACCGTTATGTTTCGCAGGGTGAGTGAAGTTATCGTAGCTCCAATTCCTCCAACTACTCACAATCCCTAACATATCTCTCAGGGGTTGCCTGCATCAACATGACCAGAGAGGGTGTCCCTCAACACCAAAGAAATCAAAAATGCGACACCAGCTTTTAAATAAGGAGTACATTAATTTCTTAAATGAGCAACTGAGCAAAGGCGTCCTGCGACTGGAAAAGGGTTCAAACTCCTACCGCGTCATCGTCATCAAAAAAATCTGAACAATTTTATTGTTTTCTCATGACTGCTCATGCATTCTTACGATCATTACAAGTACCTGTTCTCAAAGCGAGCAAGTTAAAAAGTCATTAACTCAATGACTTTACAAAATAAAATTACCCCAAGGGGATCTCTTTGTAGCAAGTTGTTATAGGTATATCCGTGACGTTTTGAAAAATGATTATCTTAAAACTTTGTCTCGTTAAGTATTGAAAAGACATTATATAGAGATAATGTTCATTTTGATACTTCCCAGAGCCCGCTTGTTGCCAGCGTAATGAATAATGGGATGTGAAGTGCAGTAAATATAAATGCATATTAAACAATAATACATTATTCTTGTCATGGTGGCCCGGAGGTTAAGGAACCCGCTTCTCATGCATGAGGGTGTGGGTTCGAAACCTGGCAAGTTTCTATGATTATTTAGACACCACTGACATATGGTGAAGGTAAACGTCGTGAGGAAACCTGGACTTATAATTTCTAATTATAAGTTTGAAATCGCCAACCCGCATTGAGCAAACGTGGTGATCAATGCTCTAACCTTCTCTGTATGAGAAAAATAAGCCTTTGCTCAGCAGTGGGCACTTGTAGGCTGATGATGGTGACATTATTCTTGGGGCCCGTTTCATGATATTTCGATAGCCAATGTGCGAGGTAAATTTGAATATGAAACGTAATTTTTTTATATGTTACATAAGCTTATTGGGCATTGATATATCTCATGAAGGATCAGGCTGGCTGGCTCCCTAGAGTAAAAAGATTCTTTAAGCCCGTCCTATCTCATGACAAGGAAAGCTTGTATTATTTTTCTCATTGAATTTATTAATTTTCAAATACTAAGCTCCATATCCCCTACCACAAGATTTGTGAAATAAAAGCAGATTTTAAATTACAAAACCAAGTGACTTTTATTTCAAGGTCAACAAATCAATAATCAAAATCTGTACTTAGAAGTTTTTGCCGTTATATGTTATTACAATATCGTCAAATTACAAATAATAATAGCTAATTACAAAAACAAAATTTTGTAAAGAAACGACAGCAGTACCATTAACATTTCGTCCACATTCATAACATAAAATTGACATACAAAAATCTAAACCACAACCTTGCGAGAGTCATTAAAAAACACACAAAAACTACCCCATTATACCTGTGTCCTACTACCTAAACACTTGACTTAACAGGTGCAGTATTTACTTCTCATGTGACGCTTGACACGTTTTCACTTTCCCAGTTTCCCCACTTTTCCTACCCCACTACCCCACCTAGAGTAGGAGGTTTTAATTCAAAAAGTCCTCCTTCCACGTAAGGTCAAGTAATCTTTTTTCTATGTTTATTTTTTTAATTTGAATGTCGTAACGAAAGTGAGTTGTATTTGAAAGGTCGAGTTTTAACTAAGGGTCGTTATTTAAGTTTCAGGTGGTAAAGTGCGGTTTTCTTTTAGCGCGGGTTACAGTGAGTTCCTTTTCTACTTTATTACAGTCACAGTGTAAAGAGGACTTTGCTCAGTGATTTCATTTTTAATTTTTTTGCTCTTTAGTCTTTAAGCTTTTGAAGTTAACTGTTTTTATTTTTACAACGCTTTGTTAAGGATGCTAGTGAAGAGGTGAAAATTGTTTTGTAACTTGAATAATGATTAGGTTCTAATGACAAATAACTTTCAGATTCTTTTATTGGATCTGAACGCCATTGATAGAAATTCTTACGTTAATTGCTGTTTTTTATTTATTTTATTATTCATGTATCAAAAAGTACGATAACGTGCTTTTTTTAAAAAAAAACGTTGCCCCACATTGGGATTTTCTCCTGTGTCGTGGGTGCGTTAACAAGCATACAATTTCACATGCACATCACACCCAGACCCGGAACAACAATCTGTGGATCACACAAAGAGTTGTTCCGTGCGGGAATCGAACCCGTGACGTTTATTTTATTTTATGACAAGTTTATCTGGTTCAGTGTCACTTTAACCTCTCAGGTATGTGTGCGATACTTCACAATTCTATTCCTCAAATAAAATAAGTTATCGTTAAATAAAACGTTACATTACATACTTTATAAAAAAACAATCAATAATGGCAATCAAAATTGCCGGATATTTTTTGAGTACTTACCTACTTAGAAAACACTCAATAAAACAGCCAGTCATTTTTAGTTACTTAATATAAATAAAATTCAATGATTTTACTAGAAAATCTTATCAAAGATAGATAATAAAATAAAAATATTCTTCATATACTCACGTGGTACATTTCCCGGCGCTGACAACAGCGAGTTGCAGCGCCAAGAGGAGAACACCAATCGCCATACTTGCAAGTCAGCGCATTTCCCTTAGCTCCGGATATTGCCCGCTTCTATGCAAATCTGCAACAAAAGTACAGTCTTAAATAAACACGTAGATGGCTATTTGTATGAGAATAGCATAATACATTTGTGAGGAAGAAAATACAAAAGTCTCATGTTATTGAATTGATGTATATATATCTTAGATCCTTTCTTTCTTTTTTACGTATCAACACAATTAGGATATTTTTCCTGTGTCGTGAATGCGTTGTACAAAGTCACCATTAGTAAATAAGTAAGTGTCTTTGTAAGCGTTCAAGTAAAATTTAAGTTTTGCTGCCATAGGTGGCACTGTTATCTTCTCGTTCTATTTTAGTTGATTCCTTTTTTTATGGTATAAGTCGGCAAACGAGCAGGCGGATTACCTGATGGTAAGCAATCGGCGTCGCCCATAAACACCCGCAACACCAAAGCAGTTACGAGTGCGTTGCCGGCCTTTTGGGGATAGGGGTTGCGGATATAAGGATCGGGGAGGGATAGGGGAAGGGACGGGATTGGGCCTCCGGTAACCTCACTTACACAACACTGGGTTGTTTCACGCCGGTATTCTGTGAGGCTGTGGTATCACTCCGGTCGAGCCGACCCATTCGTGCCGAACCTTGGCTCTCCCACACTTGTGATTATTAAAGTATTGTTTTACTGTGGAAATTTTCAAATTTTTGCCCAATCCCAATACATTGGTACCTATGAGACCCGTAACAAAAATTTGTGATACGAATTTTCAAAATAAATATTCAATGGCTTAGTGATAGCAAAGAGTAGAAAACAATTGCTACCCAGAATTAATATTAAGATCGAATCCTAATAAAAGCCAAAAACTAACTTCGAAGCCTGTGAGTGTCGAATCGTCCCACGCCAGTCAACAACTAAGACTTGAAAACTTTAACAATTAAAACGAGAACAACAAAATCATTGTATTCAAACCCTATAAGTTATTTACAAGTATTCTGAACACTGTTTACTTTAGTACAAGGTTTTCGATTACCCCTATAGTCTTGGGGGCACTTAAACTACTAGTATTTATGATACATAAAACGGTTTTACAACTTCTTCAAACTTGCTGACCTACTCGTAATACCGAATTGATGCTTTTTTTGTGAGGGGAAAATCATCAAATGACTTCTCAAGCCCAGGGCCGGGCGGGAGGGAGTGTCAGACTCTTACTGACTACAAACCCCCCTGTTCCTTCTCCTGCTCTGGGCCGAGGTCGCGGTGCCTCATTGCGCTTACCCCGCAACCCCGACTGACCGAATAGATGCTTAAGGTCTCACTACGTCGCGTAGCGTTTCGCGCGCGCCTCAAAGAGCCAATAGACCACCACAGACAGGGCCCTACAGGGCTGATATTCAGCCGGGTTTGCGGGTTAAGTGCAATGAGGCACCGCAGCCTCGGCCTAAAGCTTGAGAAGGAACTGGGGGGTTTTAAGTCAGTAAGAGTCTGATACTCTCTCTCGCTTTACCCTGGGCGGGAGAAGGCATTTGATGATTTTCCCCTGACAAAAACAAAATGCGTCACACACGATTTTGTGATGTCGCTACGACAGTTTATATTGATTGTGACATCTCTCGGGATACAACTAAATAAAGTTTATTTACAGAATCGCGTGAGTAACAAAAAGTTTTGGTTAAAAGGGTCACTGTGGTTTAAGTAGGTTAGGCCATTACTTAGTATGGTTATAAGGGCCGATGGGAGATATATGCTAGTTTAGTTTGTGTATAAAGGTTTTATGTCTGTTGGTGTTGTGTCACTTAGCAGCGTATAAAATTGATACAGTATAGTTATTTACCCGTCCTTGAACTGATAAGAATAATATTATGCTAACTGAAAAATATTATCACCAATTTTTCTGACGACAGTTTTTTTTTATTTCATAAGTCGGTAAATAAGCAGTCGGCTTACCTGATGGTAAGCGATCGGCGCCGCCTATAGACACTCGTCACACCAAAGGAGCTACTACAAGTTCATTGCCTCTTGTTGGTTGTATTTACGGATAGGAGATTTTAGGGGAGAGGATTGGACCTGTTTGTACTTGAATTTACAATTGATGTTGTTTCACGCCGGTTTCCTGTGAGGTCGTGTTATCACTCCGGTCGAGCCAGCCATTCGTTCCGAGACATGGCTCTCCCGCACTTAATTGATTTGAATAAAAAATATAAAACAAAATTTACTTTAAAAATGATACCAACTGTTGATAATCTTGCTTAATATAACACCCTATCATAATCAAAACGCATAACTCACAAAAATAATCGCAGCTTTACTAAACTCGTGTGATACACCCCAATCATTGAGTGACCTTACATTATTTTGCGACGTGAACCGAAACGTGACGAGCTTACTAAATATGTCATAAAGGGGCTAACGTTGTATCGTACATAATATATAATTTGAGAGCTATGCGATATAAAGTTCCTAATGATGATGATAGTCGAACGATGCACGGCCTGAATATGAAATTGAGTTACTAATTGTACAGGTCCTTGAGGTTGATTAGGAAGTTTCATTAAGAAAGTTTTTTGGGGAAAAAATCACCGAATCATCTGAAGAGGTCGGATTAAATATAAATTAAAAAATAATTTGCCCAATTTTGATTTTGAGGTCGGCAAACAAGCAGACATACCACTTGATGGACAGCAACCAGCGCCACCAATGGACACCCACGACAACAGAGGAGGTACGAGTGCATTGCCGACCATTTGGGGATTTGGGATTTTGAGATTTAGATTTATAATCTAACTCATATGGCGAATCAAGTATAGAGAATCAATATTATAGAGTTGATATTATATACATATGTATGTACATGTTACCGGCCAAGCTACACACATTTTATACACGGGTTTTTTATTTTAGACAAGTTAGTGTAACATTAACAGAAAGAAATAAAGCGATACTTCGTCTAAACTTTTGAAATGACTGTAGGAGCCTCTTAGTCTAAAAAGGGGTAAGTTTGAATAAGGTGTAAATTATTATTACGACTGTTACAGCTCGGGGAAGGCACGTTTTGGGGATAATTGCAAAGGGATGGGGTGGAAGAACCGATGAACAATCACCAGGCAACTGTGATTAACAAGATTCCCCTGCGATTTCTCCCATTAATAATAGGACTAATTGAGAATTTCAATTTATGTTCATGTGCGAAAATTAATCTACTTAAGACCACCTAACCAAGTAGGTACACAATTACCAGGTAATTTAATTTAAGGTCCAAAAATTACAAGATTTTTTGGAATTAAACATTCAGTACTAGACTCGTTTTATTTTAAAGACGCTCCATAAATATAATCATTATTTTTTTTATATTGTTCCTTAATATTGGTAAAGTAAGTAAGGGTGGTAAATTACGTGTGGCAGTCTACTTCTAGACCGTGGGTATCTTGGACATAAGAGAGTCGAAGTAAATCTCCACACTTGGCGGCGTACCTATTGGAGATGGGTACACAGTAAAGGTTCACGTTAGAGTGAACTACAACACGGTCTTTGTCGAATTGTTGTAGTGAGCATTTTTGTCTTAAGTATGAGATCGACTGGCGACAAAATGAACAGAATACAAAATAAACACCATGGATACAAATTATTTGATCATTAACAGCTATTACAAACAGATATTTGACTTTCAAAATTATTATCAAAGTGAAAGTAGAATCGGAAAATTACGGGCATTAATAACACAAGTATCGAAATCAGGTAGCACAAACAATGTAATAATTTCTAAGCCACTTCACTTCGGATTTATAATGTTATTCGAAGAAACAAGAATAGGTTCATTTGACCCTGATTCTGTTGTTCTCCAAAAGTCCTAAGGTCAGAGTTCAAATATTACTTTGAGTAAATTAGAATAATTTTGAAACCAAATGCTACGAAATTCTAAGAAACCTTATTTGTTATTAAATTTATATTCCTCATTAATTAATAATTTAAAATACTGGATTTCGTTTTCTGGCTTTTTGTCTGTCTTTGGCAAGAATAACAAAAAAAGACAAAATTTTTGTAAATTTGAGATTTTTTTTTCTGAAATTAAAAGAAATAATTACCCGCCCATTGTAATCACTACATTCGGTCATAGTATCCAATTTATTGCTACTTGGTGTATGTGTGCAATAAAGAATATATAAATAAATAAATAATTGCATGTCAACATCAATCAGAATCTACAATACGTTTACTCAGAATCATGAAAAGATCGTAGAACCGAGAACAGTGTTATCAAAATATTCACCATTACTTAACACACTTCGCAGCAACTTTATTGATGCACCGAAAAATCCTTCAGAAAAAGCATTCATGTACAAAACAGGAACATTCTGCCGAAACAATAACAACAAGCATTTCCAATTAGACGTCAACACAATGCCACAATTCAATCACAAACGCGAACTATTGTTCAGCTCGATAGACTGAATCTAGCACAATTGTATGATTTCAGTTCCCGGAATTCTATTTTGAGTTTGATTAGAGACTTGAAAATGAAGATAGGAATTTATTTTCGACTGTACACTGTCCCAGGTTAGAGTTCAGAAATGGCACTGCTAAACAAAGCTTGCCAAGATCTGTCCGCATGAGTGAATGTTCTGGAAATTCAGACAATTTCTTGGTTATTCTAGGATTGAAAATCTTTTGAAATGACCTTGATATTTACTCAACCATTGAAACATCGTCTAAGGGGATTTAAAAAAAAAACATTCAAAGAAAAAAAAAACACTCAACTCGTGAAAAGAAATTGAAAGCAACTCACGCTATAGAAAGTTTTCCATTTGACATTCCGCTTTAATGCTATAGGTGTTAAACAGCTAGGGTTGGCACATAAGGACTTAGAATTAGGGTTGAAACTCAGCTGCAAGAGACACGTTAAAACATAAATTGTGAGACCCTTTAGGGCACAAATTACAAAAGTGCCCCTCTGTTGGCTAGCGGAAGAAGGTATGCCAGTGAAGTCATATTAAGATAATTAATTATTATGATTTTCTTTGGGAAAAGGTCGTTTTGTTTGTTTAGGCTTATACGGTTTGTCTAATAGCAATATTGTGTGATGAGAATAACGTTTAGAAAGAAAAATTTTTGAACATATGTTTTGCTGTTTTACTGATCCTGAAAAGGCGTTTGATAGTTAGTTCTTAAAAGATCAGCAATATCAGTAAAGTTCAAAGTTCAGCTCATACTTTGATTTTTTCATAAATTTGGAAGCAGAGATGGTTTTGCAAAATCTGCAGCTGTATTTTTCTACATCAGGTAGATATGACATCTTCATATTTTTGTTCCAACATATAACCATCAAAGAAGGTTTTTCTTACACTCAATTAAAACATTGTAATACACCGGTCTCATTTAAAAATTATGCGTGTCATTTAAAATGTTAAAAAAAACAGTTTCTTACGGTAGCATCAGTGACCCAATTTATGTGACAACTTTCAGCGTCACTTTTATTAATTAGGGAAGGTCCTAAGGGCCGAACAGCTCTAAGTTAATGTCGCCTAAACGGGGGACTAAAAACGGAAAGAGTTTTCGTGACTGATGGCATCATTTCGTTGTTTTAGTTTACTTAAGAGCATTTTGTGCAAGGGGCGAAATAAAATGTCTTGAGACATTA